TTATTATTGTTATTATTATTATTATTATTGTTATTATTATTATTATTATTATTATTATTATTATTATTATGTTTTCAGGCAGAGGAAAGAATTTTGATCTTAAGTTTTACCATAAAATCTTCTGCTTTGGACCTGATCCAGGGATGTTTACTGTCCTAGCATAACTGACTAAACTTCTGTAAAGCAGGTTACATTGTTGGAAACATAGGGAACATCACAATCAAAATGGGAAAAAGTAAAATTTATTAAACTGCTCATCCCGAGCAAGACACAGTTCTAGTCAGGTGGTGATAACTCTGTGAACTTCTCTTTAAGTGATAATTTCCGTCTACTTTCTTACTTTAAGCCATGACTCAAAAACAAGTGCTAACTAGTTAACTAGAACAGTGAATGTGATTTGTTAAAATCACATTCACTGGCTGATCACCCGTCCTTGATAAATAAAAGAATCAATGTATTAATCTCACCTCATTGGGCTCCCACTGCCAAGCATCAAATGTAGGCAATCTAAGAGCTTCCATTGTCTCCTTAGACAGATGGTGCTTGACACACACACAAAGGACAACAGGACACACAGGAGTCACAAAGAGAAGAAGAGACACATATTGTGGGTGATGTGGGTTCACTGCCTCCACAGGTCTGCTGTGACAGCATGCACTGCAGGCAGCTGATTTGCAGTTAACCCTGTTTACATCTATCTGGCTTGGGGTGCATCGTAAGTAAGCATGGATCATAAATACGATCCACACTCATTATACTCTTTACACATTCAAACTAAGAGACATCGACTCTATCCTGATCAGTGTTAATAAAGGTGGCCAATCTCTGAAAATTAGACATTAAATTTTGTCTTGACAAATTTCGTCTCCATTTGTGGATTTGTGATTTGAGCATTGTGGAGGTGTGACGCACATAAAATGGAGTAAAAGTCTTACTTTGGGGTAAGAGGGGATGCAAGGACTCCGCTTCTTGTTGTCATCCAAAAAATTACTGAAAAAGAAAAAAAAACATCACAACAGTTTATGTCTGTAATATTAATCATAATACAAAAGACCATTTTATTAGCATAACCTTCATCATTTTCATGAACTCCTAATTATTTCTGTTAGTGTTGCTGCTCCATGACATGACAGCTCAGGTTGAGCAAATTGGATATTAAGCAAAAGAGGCAAGTTTGGATGGTTTGCCCTGAAGGAGGACACGCAGATGATTGGTGTGACCATGGAGGATGCTAGGGATCGGGTAGGGAGAAGGAAAATGATCCACTGTGTTGACCTCTGAGGAAAGCAGCTAAAAGAAGAACTGTTGCTGCTACATGTACTACTATTAA